CTTGGACGGCACGACAACTTTTGGAAGAATATGCTAGGCAAAAATGAGGTTATGTGCATAAACAGGTTCTCCGGACGTTTACCACAAAGGAGAGCTACTACTAATGTGGTAATCGCCGTAAGAAGACACGAGTTATCGAAATTCCATCAAGACCGGCACCGCGAATTCACGAATGCTTTGCATCAAGAGAGGTCCTCCGCCGCCGCAGACTTGGAATCGACGGCATCTGCGACGCTAGCTGCATATACCATAGCGAAGGAGGGATTGGCACTCCAAAAGCAGCTGCCTTGCTGCTCATGCAATTGCGAGCTGGAGCAGTGCCGACTTCTGCCCACTACAGTTCCAGATCAGCACGAGATATGGTGGCAACATTTGCACGTCACATGAAATACGACATGCTCAAGTATGTGATAGACTCAAAGCTGCCATTCTCACTACTTGTGGATGGGACATCGCATGATGGAGAAAAATGGATTGTGTACCTTGTTCGAACGGTTTCTCCTCAAAACCGCCCCATAACATTTCATCTCGCCTTGGTTACGTTAGAAGTGAGAAAGCGGACGACATCATTACCGCATTTACTACCCAATTACAGAATATCTCCTCCTGGGCACAGGCTCCAGGTTTGAGCGACGAACCCTATGCTTACGCAATGAAACGAATGATAGCGTTATCATCTGATGGAGCCTCGGTAATGGAGGGCAAGCACGCTGGTGTTCATAAAAAATTAAGAGACCTAATAAGACACGAAACAAGGAACACACTAAAGAGAAATGATTTCCTGCTTTCTGTTTGTGCTGCCCACAAGCTGAACCTTGTAGTAATGGACCAGAACGGTCTGGCATTAAACCTTACGAATGCACTTGTGAAGGAAATGCATCAATTATTAGGCTCTGGTGTTGCAACACGAGCTCGTACCGTTTACTCCCAAACAGCTGCGGCTATGAAATTCCCTGTACTACGGATGGACCAATTACATACCGTGCGATGGTCGGCAAGCCTGCAAAACTCGCTCTCGAAGATACTCCGCATGTATCCCGTTCTCATAGCAACTTTGCAAAAAATTAACGAGAGACAGCGCCGTTCCCCCGCTGGCGGCATTTCGATTCCCTAATCAATCGCGAAATCATAAAAAACCAGGTGTACGAAAACCTAGCTCTCAGTGGAGTACTTCTACTACAGAATACTCAAAGCCAGCAATATCACAAAGTGGATACTCAGTTCCTGAAAAGCTATCACACTTTGCCCCAGGACCATGTGGAGTTGCTCGGTTACGATCCTACTAAGTTTCCTGACTACCGCAGAAATAAAGCATCCCATTCGGCAACAGATGAGATACAAGAAACAAGACCACTGACAAAGGTGCAGATGTTCCGTCCCATCAAAAGCTTTGAATCACTGGCTTCACAAATTCAGGATGAAAGCGGTTCCGCAAAACGAACAGAGAGCATCTTTGATGCCTCCATGCTTGAAGCTGTTGCACTCGGTAAAGCATATCGCGACATCGTAGCTTTGAGGCAGAAAACTATTAGGTTGTCTCATAAATAGTGTCGCTTTTTTTCAACCAAAAAATTTTCATCTAAATCCCATGCTTTTACATCGTGTCATATACCATTCGAAAGAGAATTGTCTGCTCTACAAGATGCTATGTTCCTCTTCCACTCTGTTCCAGGTTTTCAATTTTAGGCCTGCGAAATGGGAGGTCCAGCCGACAAAAATTGACCAAACCGACAACTATCTCTAACTTTATCTTCCCTTGGGAGAAATCAATCAATGATGTACCCTCTACTTATACATGACCTCTTCTAACATTACACTATTAGGTTTCCCAACAAGTCGCGTCGTTCCATTTCCAGACCTGGTTTTTCAACCAGAACTCGACGGTCGAGCACCATTACCTGAGATCTAGGTCGAAATTTTTTTATAGCCGAGATATCATTCATTACAGCGCACTTATCCTGACCACTTCACCGTGACGACCTTTGCGGACTTCAACAATTGGCGCTGGCCACGACGACGCGGAGGAGGATTGAAGGACCTATTCGTCGTCGGCAGCTCGAAGGACGAAAGTTTACACTTTGATTTCAATTTCTATGATGTCACCCAAAGAACTGCAGAAATGTACGCGTTTTGTGAACTGGCCTAGTTGCAACATTCCAGTGAAATCTCGCGAAAAAAGCATTGCTCGGTTTTTCCAACAGCACGAGGTTCCTTTCCAGACTGTTTTCCTGCTGCTTCACTTCAAGAGTTATCAAGAGTCTAAGGAGTTTTCTGAGAAAATTCAGCTTCGTTCAAACTTCAGAAACTAACAATCCAATTTATACTACTGAGTGGAACAGGGTTTCTAAGGAAGATCAGCATTGGCTCTCAAGCAGAGTGAAAGATTTCGTTGTTTTCGGTCACAGTGAAGATCCAAGCAAGATGCTGCCCGTGGAGAGACTTTCGGCTTTGCTTCCCAATTCTCACGCACTCCACGTGCTTCCCGTCAACGCGCTCGATCAGCGGACTTCTGTCTCTTACTGCAACCCCACTTGGGCCCTTACAGCTCCTTCCCCTGCGCTACCGAACTACTGTGACGGCGAGAATTTTCGAAGTAGATTACCGCATATTGAGTCACCTTCCACGACACCTCAGCCGAACGCGGTGGATGATGACACGAGTGTGACTTTGTGTGAAGAGCCACCCGATGACTGGTATTTTGAACAACCGATGGAGTCCGTTGGCCGGAGTGACACGGAAGGGACGGAAAGTGCTCGCTGCTGTCCCCACGTTCTTGAACTGAAAAATACAATAACTGCTTTAACTGATAGACTACTTGTTGTGGAAAGTGAGCTACGCTTAGCAAGAGAAGCGCTGAGGAGAGAGAGCATGTCCGTTCAGGAAGCACGCCAACTGGCCACTGAAGAAACTCAAAGAATGTACGGCATGTACAGATCTGAAAGAGACAAGAAAGCATGATGGAACGCCTTCATCACCTTTCCTTGGACGGCACGACAACTTTTGGAAGAATATGCTGGGCAAAAATGAGGTTATGTGCATAAACAGGTTCTCCGGACGTTTACCACAAAGGAGAGCTACTACTAATGTGGTAATCGCCGTAAGAAGACACGAGTTATCGAAATTCCATCAAGACCGGCACCGCGAATTCACGAATGCTTTGCATCAAGAGAGGTCCTCCGCCGCCGCAGACTTGGAATCGACGGCATCTGCGACGCTAGCTGCATATACCATAGCGAAGGAGGGATTGGCACTCCAAAAGCAGCTGCCCTTGCTGCTCATGCAATTGCGAGCTGGAGCAGTGCCGACTTCTGCCCACTACAGTTCCAGATCAGCACGAGATATGGTGGCAACATTTGCACGTCACATGAAATACGACATGCTCAAGTATGTGATAGACTCAAAGCTGCCATTCTCACTACTTGTGGATGGGACATCGCATGATGGAGAAAAATGGATTGTGTACCTTGTTCGAACGGTTTCTCCTCAAAACCGCCCCATAACATTTCATCTCGCCTTGGTTACGTTAGAAGTGAGAAAGCGGACGACATCATTACCGCATTTACTACCCAATTACAGAATATCTCCTCCTGGGCACAGGCTCCAGGTTTGAGCGACGAACCCTATGCTTACGCAATGAAACGAATGATAGCGTTATCATCTGATGGAGCCTCGGTAATGGAGGGCAAGCACGCTGGTGTTCATAAAAATTAAGAGACATAATAAGACACTTAAAAAGGAACACACTGAAGAGAAATGAT